CACGGATTCTGCACCACTACTTGAATGGCTTCAATATATTTGTATGTGTTTTAAATAGTGCATTTTTTGATTGTTACGCAAATAAAAATTTATATTCAAGATGTCAACAATGATGGTGAGACTGAAACAGAAAACAAAAAAGGGCCAGTAAAACCAAACAAAGATATTTATTCGGGAAATACAGAAATAAATAAGATAGATTGACACTTTGACAACTGTTTACCTTGGAAAACACCGATAGTTTGGTACAAAGTTTTCACTTGACGTATATTCTGTAAGTAGAATGAGATTAAAGAATGTGTGAACTCTACATTTCAGACCCAAAGGGACTACTTTCACAAACTTTTAACAATACTTAAGCAAGAAAAGACCGAATAATTGAACAAAAACGGTCTTTGTCTTCAACTATCAATCTTCTTTTTATGCAAATGCAGATAGATATTTCAAAATAAATAATCATACAATCAATCGACTGAATAGTCTACGGTTTACCTAAAACGTTTTGCAAGCTAACGATTCCATTTGTAAACCTTTTTTTTAATATTATTAAAAAAATTGTATCGACGGTTGGTACATTAGAAAGTCATTATTACATTGAAAAAGTCCTAGCTGACAATCTTTCTTCTTTGAAATTCGAATTAACTTACTTGTGGGGTGATTATCAGTATCTTGTACCGATTGCCTAAATACCACATATGCATTTTGGAGTGGGGTATGGATGTACCTTGCAATCTAAGCCCATATCCACACAGACACCGTCACTTTTTTCCTTGGATTGGTAACTTTGAACTTATAGCTAACATTTCCAAAAATGAAGAACTAAATACGACCTATCAGTTATGCAAATTTCGAAAATTGTGGAAACAACGGTTGCTAAGATATTGGTAACCGATGAAATAAGGCTTTTCACTTTTACAAATTATCCTATATGGTCTTCAGCTACCAATGAAGACAAGATTTCTTAATTTAACATGATAGTGGAAAATGTATTCAAGTTGACAGATACTCGACTTATTTAAGTCAGTTTCTAATTCAAAATATAGCGCTGTAATGAATGCAAAAATAAACCGATCTAAAGTCGAAAATTCACTAGAAAAATGAAATTCTAGGCAAAGATATTCAATAAGTTAATTTATTTAGTTAGTTATTTCGTGGGAAACTGTGGAAAAACGGTATCTGTAACCTAAAAATGAATCTCATATTGGTAAAACAGCCGAAGTTCTTGTGTTATTCTAAAGATTTTACTGTTGAATACTATCAAATTGATCAGAGACTTTTATTGCGCTTCTCAAAATGGAAATAAAACAGATATTTACATACCGGTAGTATCACCTATATGAAAATAAATGTTGAGCCAAACAACTAAACTGGTCAACAAATTATGACAAAACCTATTATCAGATAAACCACCAATCATGGTAAGAAAAGCATTCAAAGCTTTTTCATTAGAAAACCCCATTAACTCTATTTCGTTCAAATATTCGTTTAGAAACCAATCCAGATTTTCATTCAATAATAATTTGGCATCAAATGAAGGTCGATTATTTAATGAGTCGAAGTTAGCATTCAGCAAAACTAGATAATTTTTCGATATTGATCCTTGATTAGTAGTCATAAGGAACCACTTTGGACAATATTACACTGTGAAAATGTAAGAAAATCTAGAAAAAAAAAAGAAAATTCATAAACGTTTTCAAAAACTATTGCAAAAGAAGAGAGTGATATTTTCTTGAATAATACACTAACGTATCAATAAAGAATTTCTTAGCTGTTGCAACGATCTGCTACAAATCTAAATGCACCACATTGTCCGAACGAAATGAAGTAATACTATAGAGGTAAGTGTGTGCTTCTTCATATTAATTGCAGAAAATCGAATATATCAAAAAAATATATATAATGATAGCTGATGTCTGAATAGAAAAAATAATATTGCACGACGGTAGCAAGCATTTTGCAAAATTAAAATAAGCGTTTAAAAATAGAAAGTGTATTGTTAACAATTATTTCTATAACTACCACTAAGATAATCAATCGTAGAAACATGTAAAAATGATCGAATAGAAATGATGTCACGTGCTCAATTAATCACCAGAAGATGCAAAGAACAGATCTTTATAATATAGAAATAAAGAAAACGATTTTAGTCATAAAATTTAATTGTATGATAATTAATGAGTAGAAAGAAAGAAAATGATAGTTATCTTTCGGTTCAATATTGGCTTGATTATAATAATGTTTGATGAACGATGACATCAATGCTGAAGGATTAACCATTGAACCGTCGTTCTCGTTATCAAGTGCATCAACAGGAAGCACTTTAATATCATCGTTTGTTAACAAATAAATTAACATACATGTCGTCTTGTATATCAAATTTTGATTGTTTATTTTTCAAAAAGTCACAGCATGGTCCTACAAGAATAGTACGAAATTAATTTTTCTTAGAATACTAATATGGTGTTTAAATTTATGACGGAATAGAATAACTCTGCAAATAGTAAACAGATAATAATCGAAAGAACTGATGAAGTGCGAGATAAAAACTTTTCCTAAGGAAAGATTTCTTTTTGGAAAGCAAAACAGAAAGATTTATTTACTACAGTGCATGGTAATCACAGAAAATTTAAGTTACAAATGATTATTGAAAAGACAATTCGTTTCTTGTGACGGTTTTCTTTTTGTTTGTATAAGAAACAGATGTGAAATTTAACAATTAAAAAAACTATTTTTCACAAAAAGACAAAATTAAAGAAGACATAAAATATTTTCAACGTAACACTAACTTTTTCTTTTTGACTTTCTTGTTTTTATTATTTTTTGACTCAGTTTTCTCTCCTTTTTTGCATCTAAGCATGCTCATTTAATAACTGTATCGAAAGAAACAACAGTTTAGTGCTGTTAGGCATATTTAAGATCATACTATATTCTTTTTGATCAAAATCTTTTGAAAGCTGGTGAAATCTCTTGGTACACTTTTGGATGGAGTGTGGGTGACGAAACGAGCTATATCTAAGTCCCGCACTCAGATCCACATCCTGATATTATTTTAGATTTAATCTGCTCTTTTGGCACACACATATCTTTAACAATTGAAAATACTTTTATCACCCAGATTCTCATTGAAAAGAGTTATGAGCTTATAAATAAACGGTCACCGAAAAAATGCTGAAACTAACAAACAATATTCAACTTATAGTATATGTCTGCAACGCTTGATTACACATTCGCTGCAAATATTTCTGTTCCAATAATTTACGAACTTTTTCATAAAGTATGAAACAGCATTGTTTCCTTTTACATCTGAGTGCATTATTAGTTTCATATAAAATGATGAAGCCCATTTGATTGATGTCAATTACAAATGTATATCTGAAAATTTTAATCATTGCTCTTTATTTTAGAACTTCGCGGTCATTTTTCATCACTAAGAACTGTTATTAAGTCGTTCTGATTTTTGTTCTTATCGTGTTCGACTGTTACTCAATGGCTATTTCAGTAGGATAATCAGAACCGTCTTTGCGGAAAAGATTTCAAGACGGTAATTACTAATTCATCTAATCTGTTCTCTACATAAAATAAAGAATTACCTATACTTTGCCCGTACTTATCAAACTATGAGAGACTATAGTTCAAATTTTCTTTTTCATCGTTTCTCTTTTTTATATGTTTCTAATCCATAGGAGATATTGGACAAAGGTATTTGTAGTCCATCCGATTCCACCTAGTTTTGCAAAAATTCAATGTCAAATCGATTGGATTTGACTAGAGTGATTTAACGTCCAAGTCAATCTAGTTTCGAGCCCTCAAATGTATTAATATCATCAGTTCTTTTCAATATTTTTTAATGTCGAAATGACTAAACTTTTAATACACTTAGAAAACAAGTGAAGTATTTATTTTTAGACGTGCGACTAAGAAGTGTAACAATGCAAAGTAATTAATTCTTGACCATTTGTTCTTAATTGTTCGATGACAGCTATAATGTTAATGGGAAACTAGAGTTAGTGTCGAGGGATGTGAACATTTCATATTTGTCAGAAGATAAACGTGAAAAAGGAAGAAGCTTCAAATTAGGGCTTACCCTTGTTGATTTGCACTTTTTACCCTTGTTCCGAAAAGCTAATTCATGAATCGACATTAATTCCTAATAATTGTTGTTGGTTCATTGGTAAGATTTTTAAAGAATTGAAAAGTTCTGTGCCATGCAAATAAACATTGACAAGATTTACCGAAGCTGTTCGATATGATAATAATGACAATTGTGGTTGCGACTGATCGTCACAAATTGAATTTTGTATAATACATCACCACCTGAGTTAATACTATTATACAATGACCAAAACTCATGATTAATAAAGAAAATTTTTACCTGTGTTATATAAAAGACCAAATGATTTGTCAATAAATTGATTAAGATGTTGATCAACTGTACTCGTCGGAACTTCATCAATTACATTTGCCAAAGAAAAAGCTAAAAGAAACTGCAAATTTAAACAAAGTTTCTTGTATTTTGTAAACGCATTTTTCCTGAACAATTTACTAATTTTGATTTTAATGTATTTGGCAATCATTAAAAAAAGGATTCTATTTAGCTGGCATTCACCATTTTCAACACAGACACCATCAATTAATCTGTCTTCACTATGTATTAAATTTGACATACTTTGTCAAGCATATGGTACTTGACGATTGTTTAACGAGATAAAATTAACATTTTGTTTTTGAATTACAAGCTTTTAATTCGCAGTTAAAGTGGTACCATCTGGCGAAATAGCACTTATTTTGTACATATCTCGACATTCATCAAATTGTATGTCATGTTTTTGTAACTCAGATATCAATTCTGTTTCTTTTAATGCATCATATAGTAAATATCTTAAATCTGATTCAAATGAACCACTTTGTTTTGATGATTTTATAAACTTCTCCTTTTTTTAGAATACTTCGACGACCCAATCTATTCAGTGAATGGTCCAGTTCATCTTTGTGAATATTCTTCAAGACACCTCGATTGCTAAATAACGTAGTTTTATAACAAACAAAAAATGATAAGGTAATTTTAAAATTTCCGTTTGATGTTTTAATTCTGTTGGTGTCTCATTATTATTATCATTAACACGATAATTCATTAAAATGAAGTGCTGAGGCATTAACATACCAATAGAAAGATGTACTGTTTCTCTGCATATTTCTTTAGTCATCATCATTTTCAAATTATTTGTTACTGTCATTAAATCATTTGATAAATTTTTTGATGGTCCAAAAATTATTTTGACAATTGACGTTGCCTGATCAATGAAGTTTTGGTCGTAATTAAAAAAATCAAGTTGTTGAGCTTGAGATATAACTTCAACTAATATCTTTCTTGTATTGAATGTTAGAAGCTAATTGTATAACTGATTCTGCACCATGTCTTACGACAACCTTTTCGTACGATGTTGTTGCTCGACATTTGATGCTGATGTATGGCTCATTTGAATTTAAAGCACTTAAATATGGTCCAATATATTTGCTTGCATCGGATGAAAAAGCTTGAATTCGATTACCCATAATACCGCGTATAATATATAAATGAATAATTGATGGTTTTGCACGATTTAATTGACTTTCTTTTCCTAATTAATATGAAATTATGAATAACAAATTTCCTAGGATATTAATTTAAGAAATCTAAAGAAAAGCTCAGGGTCCTAAATGGATTTTTCCTTGTAACAGTTTTTTAGATATAAATGCACAATTATTATTCACGAGATATCAACAATTGAAATATCAGCTGGAACTGATACGGTGTACAAGACATTTTGAATTACCGTCCTTGTCACGACAAACTCTGACAAGAACGAGATACGTCCACACTAATACTACAAATTTGCAAATACTTCAGCATTTGTACATTTGGAATCAGTTGCCTCGAAGACATTAGTATTAAATCGGTAACTCTTGGATGTATAATATTTTCATGCCATACAGTCTTTAGTCATCTATTGAACAATCTACCTCTAGGACTTCACAAGCTGCAAACAAATACTTTCATGTACGAGGAAGTTCTTCAGATGCGAAGCCACCGGCTATAAGAACCTCCACATCTTAGGGCCATATTATTATCACTGTGGAGGATGGTAGTATCATCAATGATGATGGTAGCATCACCAGCGATAACGGAATCATCATTTGGGATGACAATAGTCCGACCAGGAATGATGGTAGGGTCATCAGAAATGAGAGTAGCGTCGCCAGAGATAATTAGAGTATCACCTTGAACTACAGAATTATCAATAAGAATGATGAGTACATTTCGTTTAGTATAACAGGTGGGAACTAGAGTATCATATATACAAGCTAGGTTGCTATAAAGCGCGCGTTGGCTGTGAGAAGGAGAAATTGAAGTGAAACAAACAATACATCCAAACATGCTTTAGTAAGCTAGTAATACTTAGGCCATACCAAAAGTAGTGAGCCCCGTATCTTAATTTCCGATAGAATGCTTGGAAAAAATTTCTTTTCTTACGAAGAGATAGAGCGTCTTTTGCTCTATCTTTCTATGCTATTTGATCACTATTCAACTAATATCATAATAATAAAATTTCGATACGATTTGTTTCTTTCGCATGTGTCCTGGTACCATGAACATGAATGCTCGTGGATATTTTTTGAATAACGTTTGATAGCAACAAGATAGAGAACTGCGGTTTTCAGTGTTGGAAAGAGGAGATGACGACAGATCGAATCGCATATTACTGATTTCTCTAACCTGTTTGTTGTAAGGTTTTCAGTTGATCTTTCAAAGAGTAAACCTATCCCGTGAGTTATTTACGGTGAATATTGAATAATCAGGTTCACATTCAAACCCCTACTCGAAGATCTACAAACTGCGAAAGACTCAGATGTTTAAATTTAATTATTTAGAGATAATACGTATTCTAACTATGATCTCCTATCAAGTTTTTTGCTTTTTCTTATTTTCATAAAAAAAAATTTTTTTCAATGGTTAGAAAATTGAATAAAAAAAACTTTAGAAATCGTATTATAAAAATCAGTAGTACGCAGCTCGATGCGTCTTCATCTTCTCTTTCCAACACTGAAAACCGCAGTTCTCTATCTTGTTGCTATCAAACGTTATTCAAAAAGTACTTAGGCGCATTCATGATACCAGCACATATGCGAAAGACATAAATCTTATCGAAATTTTATTATTATGATATGAGTTGAATAGTGATCAAATAGCATAGAAAGATACAGCAAAAGACGCTCTATCTCTTCATAGAAAAAGAAATTTTTTCCAACCACTCTATCGGAAATTAAGATGCGGGGCTCACTACTTTCGGCATGACCTAAGTAGCATCCAAAGTTTTCCACGGAGTCAATGTATTAGAATCAAGAGGAATGCAAAGCTAGTGGTGTTACATAAAAATTGCTTAATTCTTATTGCAATGATGAGAAAGAATTATGTACGGTAGTGAGTACTAATACGGGAGAATTAGTATCAACATTTTTCCATGGTAATGATAATTCGAATGCGACATTCCGTGTCTCAGTATTATGTGTAATGATTCGTATATAGTTGACTTATTCAAGCATTAATGATTTGAGACAGAAACGGGAACGTTTTCTTTAGACTCTGTAGATTGATGAGAGAGAGTAATTATTAATAGTTAAATGGTCTCATATCAACAGCTTATACACAGATATTGATGCCCCATATTTGAAGATATAGGTATTACATTTATAACTGTCCATGAAACGAGAATGGAAGTTAATGAATTCGAAGTATCATGTTATATTATTCCAGAAATAACGAAATGATATTCATGTGTTCTTTGAACACTTAAAAGGAATGGAAAAATTTTCAAAATCGGTCTGAAAATATAGCGATACTAGTATCTATCGGTATATCAATATCTTATGCAGCATGATGTGTATCAACATGATGATCAACACAAATCGAGAAAACACAAGAATATATGCTTGGTTCATCTAATAATTGAAATTTAAGGATATTCGAAAATTTCGTTGCACCCTAGAAAGAATAAGAACAAGTCAGTTTTAGCTCTTACAACACTTAAATAGGTTACAGCAACTATGCGTAAATATCTACCTATGTTCTCATGTATAGGTATTGAAAATTTAGTCAATAAATACGCAATGACTATGTAATACGTGAAATATATCTATAATACCACGTATTGTTCAAATATTACGTAGTCAATCATTTTTCAATCATATTATATAAATATCCTACATACCTATGTGATTAATATGTTCATGATTAATTACTGGAAAACGAAAAATATGATTCGTGAATGTAAAAACGTTTTACTAATCATCAATAGTTGTTGCTGGGTTTTACACAATGTAACAGAAACCGCGGACGAAAGCCATCTGTTGTAAAATTACCATATAAATGTAAATATTTAGCCTTTTTGCAATTGTTGACCCCACACAATTTGGCAAAGTTTTGTTTCTAATACTAGTACGGTCATGGTAATTTGATATTGTAATTAACTATCCATCAAAAAGCGCACTTGCGCACCTTCTGATCGCAATATTGTCTTTGTTGTGATCGAAAAAATTTAACTGATCCAAGACAAAATCACCTTCCGGTGCACAAAGAAAAAACATTTGATTCTGTTAGCGATCGAATCGCTACAGGATATGCCAACGTTTGTTCAATAAAAGTAATTTTTCGTAAAACATCATTTGGTAGCGGTGTTGATAGATTTTCAATGCTTTTCAGGCTTTTGTATTTTTACACAATAGCAGCTGGTTTGATCTGATCTGCTTCACTTTTTTGTCTGAATAAGATTTTTTTGACTGTTGTTGTTGCATTGTACACATTTCGAATGTATTTAGATTTCTTAGAAGCTCAAAGAAAATTAGACACAAGTATATAGACTATTTATATGTCAAAAACTATACCATACTACTTGGTCCAACAATCACTAAAAATAAACTTGTTGTTGTTTGGCTATTGATTTCAACAAAATACGTTAATGAATCATCTCTAAAATGACCAAATTCAACCAATGATGTTAAACAAAAAGTCAAGCTATTACAACCACATGCTTCATCATAGTTTTCATAAACTTCTAAAAGACATACTGATTCAGATAAAATATTTTCCTAAATTTAAATTTCATGTCATTTGACAACAGTTATCAAGCTCAGTGTTCTTAATGAAAGAGTGTATTCCTGTAAAACAAAATGCACGGTATCCTAATGAAACAGAATTTGCACACTGTTTTATGCTCTGAAGAAAAAAAATATTGTGTACGTTATAGACGCTGAATTTCTTTGTTAGGCCTTGTCTGCACTAGAAAAATAACTCGGTATTAATTTCGAATTAAATCTACATGCATCTACACTTATGAATTTAATGCATCAATCCGAACTGAGAAATGACCACTATAACGTAGTCGAATCATACAATTATAGCATGTGTTCATGAAGAAAAAGATATCGATTGTCTTTCTCATTTATCCTTATAGTTCATCGTATTGAAAACATCTCTCTATTGATAATATAAAGCGACTTTATCAAGGTTTGTCGAACATTTTGATTAATAAACCGCAATCTTTCTTGATTGGTGCATTAAATCTGAATTAACTTTTCAGCGAATCAAGTTCCTTAATTCGGTATTAAAGTTTCTAGTGTAAATAAACCATTACACTGTGTTTTTTTCTACAAGTTGTCGTGCCTTTATGCTTGAAAGTTTTTTTATTGAACGCGATCGAGTATATATCATGTCCAATTGTATAATAAGTAGAGGTGCTATGATATCTTCCATGTTCATATGCATATACCTTAAGGGTGTGGGTGTGGGTATATCTAAACAGAACACTCACACCCCACAGCCACACCCAGAATAAAACACACGTTTGTAAAGATTTGTTAGGCCCTCTACGAATCGTTCCAGCCAAATGCTCATCAGCTTAGTGTGCTAATTTGAATTCGGAATTTAAGTTTGAAAGCATCATTTTAAAAGAACTGACTGATACACCTTCATGAGTAAAATCGGTAGAACACATATCAAACGTACCATGTACATGCTGATTTTAATCTCCAGAAGAATTATGTACAATTGGTTCAGTAATGCCTTGCTTTTTACAGAGCTGTTCCATGCAAATATCATTGATTGAAGCTAGAATAAATTAGGATATATATTTTCCGAAAAATTTAAGAAAAAAACGAAGCAGTAGATAAGTTTTACAAAATAATTACCAATATTTTCGTCGATGGTAATGTCGGTGACTTGTTTTCTGAAACGAAAATCAGTTGATTTTTGAATAATTTCGTGGGCAATTATTAATAAATGATCGATTGAGGCAACATTAGCTGTTAATTGTACAGTTTGTGGTAGAATAAAATCGAAAATCGTTGGCAAATGCCAAATGCTCAATCTATTTTTACAATCGTTCTCTTTTTTTTGTGGATCCCTTGCAGAGTTGCAGATATTTTGCTGCCAGTTGTAATCAAAGCTAATGTCCATTTCAAAATAGAATGTCCGTCACCATTTTTTGAATAGTTCGAGAACGCAAACAGCTACAGACCTGTAGTTTTCACCAATCAATAGATAAGACAGGAGAATGTCTTTTTCCCAGGTAATGTGTAAGGCGAAATCCCTTTAAAACTAGTCATCTTCGAAAAACATGGAAAATAATGCATGAAAATGACCTGCCGTCTAGATGAAATTTTTATTTTCACCTTTGATTTAGATAGAGGAACTTGAGATCTATAGTTCAAGATACAATGCACTTTCTTACTTTTCCTTACGTTTTATCGAAAGGTCCAGCTATTATCATAAAAATGCAAAAACAAAGTAAAAAATCAGTAAAATTCCCTATTATTTGTGCATGCAAATACATGGTTCCATTTGGTCAACGTTAGAATGCAATAAGAAAATTATTTGCATTGTATCTTGAACTATAGATCTCAAGTCCCTTTATCCAAATCAAAGGTCAAAATCAAAATTTCATCTGGGCGGCAGGTCATTTTCATGCATTATTTTCCATGTTTTTCGAAGATGACTAATTTTAAAGGGATTTCGCCTTACACATTATCTGAGAAAAAGATATTCTCCTGTCTTATCTATTGATTGGTGAAAACCACAGGTCTCTAGCTGTTTGCGTTCTCGAATTATTCAAAAAATGGTAACGGACATTCTATTTTGAAATGGACATGAATTGATCGAATCGTTTCTTTGACATCCACAAGTGTATAGAGAACATCAACAGCATTCAGTTTGTTGAAAATATTGAGTAACATTTAATTGGGTAAATCGAGTATACTGAGATAATTGTTATTTGAAGTGTCCATATCTCACTTGTGTTCTCTTGTTCATGTCAATTTATATATCTACATGCTTCTATTGCCGTCTGTGCGTGAGAAAAATGAAAAAAAAAACACATTCATGTTTTATAATATTAGACCATGATGAATGGCTGATGGCATTTTTCTTGTTATCTAAGTTTTTTCGTTATTCATTCGTGGCTCATACGTCAGTTCCTTGTGTGGGTGTGGCTGGTGCAGGTGTTGGATGTGCGCACCCACACCCAAAAGACCAAAAACCATACCACATGGCTTCGTGAAATACCGCAAATTTTTGTAATATCTTTAAAAACTTTTGATTTCATAAATATTGAAATGGAGGATGATCAACATAAGAGAGAATAGTCTCTGATTACTTCAGAACTAGTAAACAAGGTGATGTTCTGGAACTTTTTTCATTTCATAATAAAACAGATAATGTCTCTCAGACATGAATGCAGCTGAATATTGAACAGTTTTGAAAAGTCACGATCGTATTCATTTAAGAGAGATTTTAGTTAATAATACAGATCCAGATAAGCCAAAAACAGTGAAATATTTGGCAGATCTTCAAACTAGCTGATCAAGTCATAGAGTATCCTGCCAATAGACTTATTTGTGGTATTGATCAACAGCATCAGAAGGCGTACAGTTCTCATTGAAGAAAATATGCATCATTCTTACTTTGTATTTAAATAAAGTGCTTGAATATCCTTGTTATTAATACTCACTTAAGATCGAGTGAATGCAATGCATATAGTATAACGAAGTAACAGTGGAGAAATAATTTTATCCAGCGATGTAGCAATTTTGCATATATCTCTTTTTGTTGGTTTGACAAAACTCTTTTTTATCGAATTCTTCATTGATTTGTTCACCTTATCATATAGTATTTTTGTAGAGATATGACAATCCACATTTTTAGCATTGTTCACAATAATGTGAAATGTCCACAAGTGTGACTGAGAACAATATTCTCTGGAATTTTTCCAAGCATATTTTGCTTATCCAGTGTTTTACGTTTTTTATGTACACGTTTCGTGTTAGAAAATTCTCAACAAATACTCTACTATTATTCAGATACTCTAACCAGAAAAGTATAAATCGAAAATTACAAATACTAGAAAAAAGAAAAGAGATTTACGGAAAGTTTGAAACGGCATTCTTCCAGGTAACTCTGATCTATTTTTCCAACAAGCCTGATAAACGTACACGACTTCAGAATTATCATACTTTTACAGAGCTTCAACCAGATTAAGTGAAGCCCTAAGTGGAAAACCTTATCATCAACCAATCAGAATTATCGCAGCTAGAAGAGGAAAATAATCATAAAACCATCATAGTCGATTTCAAATTTTTAATCAGCTGATAACTGATGGACTCATTGAACAAGCAAATTGCCATTCTCTCTGCTCTAATAAATGAGCAGACAAAAACAAAAACAGAAACTTGTACGTAATAGAAAAAATATAAATAAATAAATATATATATTTCTTAGCGACTAAACTGATTGCTCGAGACGAAGGAAATCTATATTAAAAAGAATAAAAATCTACCTTTTTATTATAGTTAATAAACTGATATACAGAAAAAAAAGAAACTTATGTTTTAAAAAAAGTTTGTATCCCTCTAGCCTATTCAATAAATCTACAGAGGAAAAAAAAGAAAACTTGCTCGTAAATGAATAAATATATTTAACTTTGGCTTTAGGTGTAATTTATTGAAATAATGACCAGAATATATTCTCATTGCTGGAAATTATTTTGCCTTTATTTCATCATGATCACTATATGTTATAAAAATGATAGGACAAAATAAAGAATTTATACTTGAATAAATATATTTTATACTAGAATAAAGGAGCGATTAAAATAAACCAGAGCGTCGTGTCTCATATTTGATTAAATAGCCAATAAGAGTAAAACTTCAAAGGTAAAATAATTTCGATGTGATAAAAAAAGTTCGATAAATTGTTTTCGATGCTTATATACTATGAAATTGCACATTTTCAAGCATAATAATTGTCGTTTCATTGAAGCGGCTTGTTTTTAAAATTGTCGCGCAAAACCTGAAAAAACTGGGCAACACAAAAATAAAAAGACCTGGAAAATTTATCAAAAATATGACTTTATGTGCACTTTTTTAAACAAGTAAAACTTACACCTAACAATCGACTAAAAGTCATAATTTTCATACATAATACGCTGTTTTGTGGTATGTTTGTCTGTGTACAGTCCAACATTTCGCAGTCAAAGTAGTTGCCGCTTTCCCATCAATTAATGGGTGCATCCCAACCACGTGACCACGTATGTAACTGCTAGGGCGAAACCCTGTCCAATATCAACAGAAAACGTTTCTTCCATCAAGTGTCTTCTGTATGCTGTACTTTTCTGAAAATGCAAAAACAATTATATTAGAGACACGAGATGCTCTATACATGTAATCTCTGCTTAGTATATTTCCAAATCAAAACATTTACTGTCAATTAATATTTTTCATCGATATCAGTGCTTCTAATGGAAATCTAAAATAAAATGTACAGTTATTCTCTTCTATATGGAGCAAGTGAAAATGAAAAAAATTGAAAAAAATGTTTATATTTTATTTACTACGTAAAAAAGTAGATTAATAATGCATAAACAAATAGAAAATAAGTAGATAACCAACTTGTTTATGACTCAGCCAGAAAAATCTACCACACAAAAATACAACACTCGAATATCAGATGAACATGAGAAGCTGTGATAAACTATTTTTCAAAATCTAAAATAACTAAAAGTCAGTCGAATTTATCATTGTTATCTTCATCAGAGAGTGTGGATGTGGTTGAAGGTATGGGTGTCAGTATTCTTTTTATTTACACCTATGCTCACACTCCACACCCTTGACACTTTTCACTATCAAATATATAATTTTTTCATATCTTTTAAACAAGCAAAACTTGATATATTATGCCTTCGGGATCAGGGCATCCACCATCCATTTGACGAATAGATACAGAATCATATGTATTAGTGATCGTGGCTAATAGCACTGTTATTATCAATAGAACTAACGATCGGTTCATATCGTATTGACTATTTTCAAAATATCTGGTATCATTCTTCTGAATAGACACAAACCTATATATGGATGAATTGCAACTTTATTGTACCGTTCGTAGTTCCATATGTAAAACTTTAATAACTTCAGTTCCTCTTGGCCAATCTCTATGAAAATTTCGGAGTATGCTGCCGTAGTTGATGCTCACTACTACACAAAAAATCACGAATTTATCATTAGCCTATCCCGAGATACTGCATACACAAGGTTAAAATGGCTGATTTCTACTGCCACCTATGGACAGAAAATGACCCATCACTAATTGATTTCTTGTCATTTGAATTTTGACAGTTTTTGACATTTACAGTGGACAGTGTATACATCATGGATATGAGACTGGCTAGTTCTTTCATCGCAGTTTATGTTATATTTTTTTCCGAATATCAGGTGTACCGTCAATGGTCAATATGGTGTCACACGAGATTTAAAAACGCCTTTGCTATATAACAAAGCATTCAAAATTTGTCGGATTGGTTTTGAATGAAAGCTTATCAGTGGGGAATAAAACTACCAAAGATGATTCGAAAGTTTTACTTATTCTTATTAAGAAAGGGGCATTAAATAAAATTTGAAAATATAGTTGTCACACTAAATGTCACACGAGATTTCATACTTTGTGTGTCGTATTAACTCTTGTAAATTAAGGCATATTGAGCTGAAATTTTTATCATTTTATTTGTTAGTTGTGGCCAGATATTGCTGAAAATATCACGGTTAGAAAATGCTCCTTTCGCATAATAGAGAGAAAAATAGTGTAAAAATGTCACACGAGATTATTGGCAAACTGTCACACGAGATTTTTTCAAAAAAGTGCCAGATGAGATTTTTATGTGGATAACTATCCAGTAACTGAGATTAAGGTGAATAAAGGGCATATTAGTCGCTTTCATGTTTAAGTGACTATCACTACTCACGCGAACTAATTCTAACACATTCCTCACGAGTTAATAAATTTGCTGTGAAAGATGCGTATACACGATCTATACTCAATTTAACAGTGGTAGTCGGGAAAATTTATTCATATCCATCTCTCATATAGTGTAGTAAGATGCACTACTCCCAATCTCTAAAATCGGAAATTTTTTTTTCATCGATTTTTTTCTCAAAACGGTACAATAAAGTTGCAATTCATCCATATATATATCAATAAGAATCGATCAAGAACTTACAAGAAAAAGTAAAAAGTTATTATCTGTGTAATGCACTTTTTTTTCCTTTTAAAATAATCATTTTCGATCAGGAAGTATCGTTTTCAAATAGCACTCTAACGATCTCAAATTTCTTTACTTGATGCATCTTATTTTCTTTTCTTCTATTAGATTACTATTTGACAACAGCATAGTACGAGACGTCATCAATAGAAAACAAAAGAATTTTCTTGTCATTAAACAATGAATCACTAAGGGTGAGTTTCTGAGAGAAAAAACATTGATCTCATCTTTTGTATAAATCATCGTATTAGTATGATGAAATCATAGCAAGAAGTAGTTTAGAGTTTTCCTAGAAATACATAACATTCTTTAAATTTAGACATTTTTGTTCACTTTGACTAAGCATTTCAATGAAAAAACTCAATGTGCAATAAACGCTTTCAAGAAGCACGTACAAAATGATCATAAAATACTTTTATTGGTTAAATTATTTGTATAAATTTATTGTTCGAATAATGGTAACCTTAAACTTGATTAATAGTGATATAAAAATTACACATAAATCATTTTTTTCTTCATATCCACATCATACAACACCGTTGAATGTGAAAAGCCGGTCTTCAATCATCGATAAATTCAGTCAATACCAAACTATTCTTACAAACTTGATAGTGCTCTGAACTAAGAGATCAGATAGAAAGGGAAAATGAAAAGAATAACTATACTACTCGTGTCAACAACCATGGTAAATCAAAGTTTTTAATTATACTGTATATCAAAATCTATATTTCAAGCTAGAAACAATACAGGAGGTATTTTTCTTTCAAGCCAATATCACATTACTTTTTCATAAAGTTTAAATAGATTTTATTACTAAGAGACATAATTGATATATACGTCCATTAGTTAAGGTTTTTTTTCTTAGTTCACATTTGATAATTTTCGCATACATAAAAACTAATTATCCTGTAGTACCATCTGTAGGACGCATAACTCCATTCCATAAACAAGCATATGGTTTTTGAGCATTACCAGAGAAAATACAATGGCCGGGTGCACAGTTTAATGGACAT